GTAGAATAAAGTTGCTGAAGTGGGAAGGTCTGTATACACTACTCCCAGGAGCCAACTCCATTCACCCCTCTGCCATTTCCAACCCACAGGGCAATCCACAAAGTTCAGTAGGCAGCCAGTGAACTTGGCTTCCAGAGAGATCACCATCTGTTTTTCTACCTCTAATAAATAAAGTACCTCTGCTCTATAAATTCACATTGCTTGTGGGACTAAGGCCTAGAATGAAAATGGAGATAGAATTTGTGTCCAATGTTAATGGGTTTTAAAAAAATTTTCGTGGGTAGGAAGTTTACGGTGTAAGAATGTATGCGCTGCATAAGTCTGAATTTGATCGGGTTCGAATAATGCTACCATGTCCTAAAACCCTGGGCATTATACACTTTCCAAATGTACAGTGTCATCAAGGTTTTATGACATTTCCTACAAAAATTCAATAGTCAGGTAGCACTTCATCAGTTACAGTTTAAATTCAGGTTTGGGAACAGAAAACTATGGCTGCAGCATGAAAACCGTTCCACTCTTCTGATTTCGGTGTCATAGCCCCACGGGAATATTCCACTAAACACTTCTACATGTGCATTTTTGTGCCCTACTAAGAGAACTCCATATCTTGGAATTGCAGAGTAAAGCCAAAGTATGATAGTAGGGCCAAAAATCCACTCTAGATGATCTCTGTCTTCCTACAAAAGCTTCATCAGAGATGCTTCTTCACCTGGGGTTTTCTGTTTATTCAGTCTCACTTCCTTCTTCAAGTGACGAAATGCTTAGAGCATCATGTCCATGCCTGTCTACATGGCTTACGGAGCACACAAGACTTCTGAGGCCCAGAGCTCTGAAGGCAAAGCTGACAGATATGAAATGCAAGCCTAGCTTTGCCAGGTTAAATGTGGCCAGGAAAGGAGCATACCTAGTTCTACTGGCATGAAAACGGAGTTGCAAAAGAGTCTATGAGAAAGAAATATTAAGTAATACTGCATATTTGACATTGACATGATCTTATTCTTCCATGCCAACATACCCTAATCCAAAGCTTATGCTATTCCAATCCAAACCTGCCCTAAAACAGCCAATTACACTGAATGTAGTTTAAGCTCCAAGGAGTCTCCAGACTTAAAGACAATGTTTCATTAGCACATTCGTTTTTGTATTATTTATACATTTTGAGTCAGTTTCTAAATCATATGCATCACTTCTCTAGGGATTACTTCTCTTTCACACTGCAGGTTTAATAGAGCTCCTGTGGCTTTGCTATTTTGCCAGTGATTTTATTTCCTCCCCAAATGTATCAGTAAACTTGGTTTAAAAACCTGAAGCTGAGCAACCTCTCCAAATAAACATGAAACATTTCCAAACCCATTATCTACATGACTTAAACAAGTGATATCACAATCATGTTGCCAAAAGGGGCCATAATATATAACTGGCTTTGCTCTAGAACTTCCAAACTAGTTCCCAAATTTTGAGTCTGGCTGTGGAGGAAAGTTTAAAATTCTGCAAAATATTTGCATTGGCAAAAGTGGTCATTTGCCACTTATTCATTGAAAGTGTCATCCCAAAATATTCACTGAGAAAACTGTTATCATTTATTCCTCAAGAATGAATGCACTTAGTCTCAACTCCTGACAAAAAGAACAAGTGTGATATTTTTCCTCAATTCACTCTCACGCCTGGTGTCATCATAAAAAGTGAAATCAAAAGAAAAATGAGGCTTATTCTCTTAATTTACATTATTTTATTATATATTCCAAAAGACAAAAAATACTTTTATCTAGGCCATGTGACCTGAGGCAAGCTTACCATAAGCCTCAATATTCCTCAATTCCTTAGATTAATAATTGAGCCCATCTCCCCAGGTAGTGGTCATGAGTAAGTAAACAGTGTTTGTAACAAGCACTATTTACGTGAGTAAACACAGTATCCAGCATACAGTGCTCAATATAAGTAAGTTCAATAAATGTAAACTTTTGTTATTATTTGCAGCTGGAGATTTAAATGAAAAATGAAAAATCTTCTTTTGAATCCTTAGAACATGCTCCCAGACCTGCTACTATCTCTGTGTTATTCCCACCTACACTAGACAGCCCCTTTGATTCAAGGATCCTTAATAATCTCTGCTCAGCTCTCTTCTAAATTTCTGTATCAGTTAGCTTGTGCTGCAAGAGGAGGATCCAATGACCATGACCTTGTCCATGAAGATCTCTACTTACCATCTACAAGTGATATCATAATCATATTGGTGGAAGGGGCCATAATGTACAACTGGCTTTGTTCTAGAACTCCCAAACTAGTTCCCAAACTTTTGAGCCTGGCTGTGGAGGAAAGTTTAAAATTCTGCAAAATTTGTTCATGAAGATCTCTATAGAAATGAATTAATAATACAATTCATCAAATCACCAACATCCTGAGCAGTGTCTCTACTTTTAACTCTTTGGTAAAGTCTCTATGATTTAGTTTAAATCTAACTTTGTTTTTAAAATGTGATAGGCACTATTCTGTACATGAATGTACCATTTAGGTTCTGGCTGACCCTAACAGAACAGGAAGAGACTAACTGGCTCTCAGAATTTAAGAAAGACTAGAGAACTCACTATTGAAAAGTCAAAAGCATGGGCAATATCCTAATAGTTATTAGAATGGATTGATAATCTCATCACAGCCTCTGCACTGAAACAAATGAATGCCAAGTGTTGTCATCATCTTCGCATGGCTCTGTCCTTGAATCAAATTCACAGGAATGAGTCTCTTGGCAGCAGGGGGTGAGCATGTAATCTAACCTTGGCCCATCAAATGCTCCTACCCAAGATTTTAACTCTGGAGCAAGTTCATTTATTCATTCATTCAACAAATATTAAGCATTTAGTACCTTTTGGGTACTAAAGATATGGGGAAAAAGTCTGTCCTTTTGGAATTTATATTCTGGTAATATGAATGAACTATATATATATGTATATTTAAATATATATATTTATATATTTAATATACATTTAGATCAAATATACACACACACACACACACACACACACACACACACACACACACATATTTGTCAGATGGTAAAGAGTTCTACTTAAAACGATAAAACTGGATGAGAGAAGACAAAGGGCAGGAATGTGGGTGGTTATGCGATTTTATGTAGAATGGACAAAAAAGGCCTGTAACAAAGCGCGATTTGAACAGAGATCTGAAAGAAGCAAAGGCTTGAGCCATGTGGCTATTTCGAGCAGTTCTGTCAATAGGAACATAATGTGAGTCACATAGGTAATTTTAAGCTTTCTAGTAATCACACTAAAAAAGTAAAAAAAAAAAAAAAAAAAAAAAGGTGAAATTCATTTTCATATTTTACCTGATATGTCCAAAATATTTTCAACATATAATCAATATAAAAAATTACTCATGAGAGATCTTTCATTTTTTCATAGTAAGTCTTCCAAATCTGATGTGCACTTCACACCTGCAGCACATCTCAGTCAAGGCCTTAATCGCTGCTTGTGGCTCATGCCTACCATAATGGGCAGCACTGGTGCAGAATGAGAGTGTCCCCGTAAAGACTACAACAAATGCCAAGTACCAAGAGAGCATGCCTGACGTGTCTGCAGAAGAGCACAAAGTGATTGATGTAATGTGAGCAAAGGAGAAGGCGGTGAGACAGGAGGCCAGACTGGCCAGAGGCAGCCCAATCCTGCAGGGTGTCCTGGGCCCTTACAAGGACTTCCACTGTTACTCTGAGTGATGATGGAAGCCAATGGTAGTGGGGACAGCTCCATGGGCCTCTGACCTGTGCAGCTGCACAGGACCTCATGCTTGGTTTAATGCTCTGATGTTACTATCCTGAAATTCTCAATTTTGGGACAGGGGCTTCACATTTACATTACGCAATGGATGCTCCCCCCCACACACAAATTATGTAACTGGTTGTGACTGGAGAGTTTTGATCAGAGACTGACATGAACTGTTTTATGCTTTACATGGATTAATCCAGTTTCTGTGTTAAGAATAGGCTGTAGGAAACATGAGGGTGAATGCAAGAAAAACACCTGAAATGCTGTTGATCAACGCTAGGTGAGAAACAATGACAGCAGGTGACACCAAGAGCAGGGGCCAGTTACTTCCATTTGCTGCAGCCACAGCAGAGCACCTGGCAACATGCCTGTGGAGAGCAGCATCCAGGCCAGGGGCTCCTGCTGCCCACCACTGATTTCCACCTTGTTTCCACTCTGGTCACCTGTTCATCTGAGAGCCATGTATCTTCCCAACACATTTTCTTTTTTTTTTAAAGAACAGCCATTGGTTTCTCTTCTCACCTCTCCTTTTACTAAGAGAGGGCAGGATACTCAATGGTCCCACTAAAACTATATACAGTAGCAAATAGGATTTCTCCAAAAGAAAATCAGGGTATTATCACAAAATCAGAGTCCCCTATAAGGGAGAAAATGAGCTGCTAAAGGAAGGAAAGGTCCTAATGAGGTCGAGCATCTTCTGTGTTACATCACTGTGGCTGGAAATTATTATACATTCTTTCCATTGCATTCAATTAAGTAATGGGTATAAAACATTACCCCTGCCTCCCAAAAATCTACATGGGCTTCACAGGACAGGATCTACTACAATTTATGTGAATATAAAATGTATCTAAATACATTCAGGACCCACAAAATACTTTGCTAACTCTCAGTAAGGAAACAGAAAAAAATTAACTTTGGGGACCTTTTGTTTTTTAGATTTGTATCTAAATTTGTACAATTATCTCTATGTTTAAGCTGGCGAATAAAAAATAATAATCACTGTTTAGTTTCTAAGTAATCAAATAGAAAATTCATTAGGCGATGCTAAATACTGACATAACACAACTACCAGTAAGTGAAATACCAGTATGAAAATCAGCCTATACTTCCTAATCTAAAATTCATAAAAGATTGCATATTTGCCATGTGCTCAAAGTTTTTCTAAAATGACAAAACATGGATGATACCCCACTTGAAGGGCTTATGTCAGCTACTCACCTTTTTCTGAAGAACATTAATTTTTCTTTCCTTCACTTCTAACATATCTTTCATGTCACGAATCTCACCGGCCAGTGTCCCCTTCTCTTCTGTGAGGTCCTGCAGCTGTTTTGTTTTTTTATTGAGGAAAGATTCTTTTTCTTCCAGTCGTAATCTCAGTGCATCTACCTAAATTAGGAAAAAGACAGAAGGTTGTGATTTCACTAAAAGGTCATCAATAGCCATCAGTCCCGCCCTTGGAGCGGGGAGGGCAGCAGCAAGTTTCCTGAGCAAGACACAATGGAACCACTGCTCATGGCACCCCACTGCCCTGAATTTTAACAGCCTACATCCTTCTTAAAGCCTTGTTGTCTGTACATCTCAATAGTGACACTTTTAAAAAATAAGCTTTCTATGAAATAAGACATTATGAAATAGTAGTAGGTTTCTATGTTTGTTTCCCCTCTTATGGGAAACAACATGTTTGCTTAAGCTGGGAAACAAAGCACATCAATATTGCCACGTCTCTGAGAGCCCAGGGAGGGTAAAATACTGCTCAAGCTTTGCAGTATCCTCCAGGAATACGGAGAACACAATGAGCCATGCCATGGACATCTGGAGGAACAAGATTGACATGTAGAGAAACACTCCTAAATTAGAAAAATACATGTTGCCAAGAGGACACTCATGCTACCAGAGGAAGAAAATAAGATAGAAATGAAACACCCATTCTCCAGCCTCATGAAAGACTGCTTTCCAAATACTTAAAAAAAAAAAAAAAAAAAGATAAAGCATACAAAAAAATTTCCCCTTTGTAGCTCAGCTCTAACATTTAAAAACATATAATACCTGCTTTTCAAATGTTAATTTAAAAAAAAGAAAATATAAGTTTTATTTTTTAAATTTAACATTCTGAAGACCATGCACAAAGAAAGGTCTATTTCTATACTACTCAGACTAGACTATAGAAAAAAATCACTGGAGTTGTTAAAAAAAAAAAAAAAAAGAGACAACAAAAAGAATATGAAGACCATTAGAATGTCATTTTAATTTACTGTAGCCTTTTAAAATTGTAGTTTTTTGATATACAACACCATATTTGCAACTGTGTTTATAAATGTACACTAATCGAGTCTTAAAATGCAACTATGTCAAACATTTTATTTGAAGAATCATTGTCCTTAATTATTGACAGTGACAGACTATGAGATTTCCAAGGTACTTCTTCTCAACTAAACTATAACATTCAATATGTTACTCCTAAGACATTTACTTTTTTTAATTGGATGTACATTAAAAAAAAGATTAGGAACCTTTGCCACAATTATTTTGCTGCCACTTCAGCAGATACTACTGTTACAGTCTGAATGTGCTGCTCGAAATTCATAAGTTGAAATCAAATCCCAAATACAATAATATTAAAAGGTAGGGTCTTTAGGAGGTGATTGGGTCATGAGGGCAAAGTACATCATGAATGGGACTAATTCCTTTGTAAAAGAAGCCCAAAGGGGTTCATTCACCCCTTCCACCATGTGAGAACACAGCAAGATGGCACCATATCTGAAGCATTGATTGATCCCTCATCAGACAAGAAATCTGCTGGTGCCTTGATCTTGGATTTTCCAGGCTCTACAACTGTAAGATATACATTTCTGTTGTTTATAAGCCACCCAGTCTCGGTACTTTGTTCTAGCAGCCTGAATGAACTAAGACAACCACCATGATTTATTTTTTTCTGGATTATTAAAGACACCTTAACATGTGATCATATGTCAAAGCCAGGGTTAGAACCATCCAGGAACTAACACTTCAAGGATCAGTCCTGATCCCTTTGGGAAGGAATGTATGAAGTAACTCTTTGTTAGTATCGTTGATGTGGGAAAGGAATATACTATGTTCAATACAACAAATCAAAATTAAATAAGATCATATAGAATAGGGGTCCCCAACCCTCAGACCAGTTCCGGTCCAAGGCCTGTTAGGAACCAGGCTGCACAGCAGGAGTTGAGTGTCAGTCAAGCATTACCACCTGAGTGCTGCCTCCTGCCACATCAGCAGTGGCATTAGATTTTCATAGAATCTAATGAGCTAGCTCTCTCACATGTGCAGTTCACAAGAGTGTTCATGCTCCTATGACAGTCTAATGCCTGATGATCTGGTTTGGAACAGTTTCATTCCAAAACCATCCCTGACGCCCCACACCTCCTCATCTGTGGAAAAGATGTCTTCCACAAAACCAGTCCCTGGTGCCAAAAAGGCTGGGGACTGCTGATATAGGGAATCTAAAGGACATGTCCACAAAATGATTTTTATAGAGATGCCCATACCAGCATTGTTCATAATGGATCACACAGGGAATAATACAAATGTCTATCAGCAAATGACAGGATAAATAAAATGGTGGTATATTTATATGGAATGCTATCTATCCATAAAAAGCAGTGAACTGCAGACGCACACAATAACAAAAGTGAATCTCAAAATCATACTGAGTGAAAGAATCTAGAGGATTTATTGCATGATTGTGTTTCCACTTCTGTGAAATTCTAAAGGAGGTGAAACTAATCTGTGGTGACAGAAGTGAAAGCAACAGTTGCCTGGGGTGGAAGGTGGGAAGGGCTGATTATAAAGGGACAGGAGGTATTTTTTGTCCTCTAAATTGATTAGGGAGAGTGGAGAACCGTTACATGGTGTACAGAATTGTCAAAACTGATTTAACTGTATAGTTTAATAATTTATACTTTGACAGTTATAATTTATATTTTAATGAATTTGAAAAATATATGAATATACAACTAAGAATTAACAAACATCTTACAACAATGTCTTTCATGAAAGAGAGAGGTCAAAACAAAACACCAACGTGGAAACTAAATTACCTTATAACTGGGAGAATGAAGTAGGGGTTAGATAAGGTTCACATGGGTAATGAGGTATCGGGGTGATGGAAGGGTTTATTCATCACCTTCCACAGCAGGAACATAACAGATAGTAGCTACACCAGCAATCAGGAAGTAGACAAGCAAGCACATTATTAAGAGATATCAAAATAATGAAACAAGAAGAGTTAAAAGAGTTTGTCTTGGGGAAGAAAAAAATGAAAGTAGAGGATTGCTATATCTCATAACAAAAATTTTCAAACATTTTGCTTCCTTATCCTATAGGCAAGCAAAATTTGAATGGAAAGAAAAAAGACAAAAGAAATCAAAAACAAAAATGATACAAGAATGCCATTAGAAACCAGTAGAAGATATGCAAATAGCCAACAAACATATGAAAAAATACTCAACAACACTAATCGCCAGGGAAATGCAAATTAAAACCACAGTGAGATACCACCTCATCCCAGCCAGAATGACTATTATTGAGAAGTCAAAAAAACAATAGATGTTGGCATGGATGTGGTGAAAAGGGAAGGCTTATACACTGCTGGTGAGAATGCAAATTAGTAAAATTACTACAAGCTATATGGAAAACAATATGGAGATTTCTCAAATAACTAAAAGTCAGTCTACTATTCAATCCCGCTACTGGGTATCTACCCAAAAGGAAAGACGTCATTACATCAAAAAGATACCTATATGTGTATGTTTATCACAACACAATTCACAATTGCAAATATATGGAATCAACTTAAGTGACTATCAAAGAATGAGTAGATAAAAGTAATATATATACACATATATAGTATATTTATAGCTGAGTATTCATATATATGAATATATATATGTGTGTGTATATATATATATACATACATATGTATATATATACACATCTATATATAATTGTATATGTGTGTGTGTGTGTGTGTGTGTGTATATATATATATATATATATACACACAATTATTTGGTGTCAAGAGGCAGAGAAAAATATTCCATATACCCAACATGGCAGGAGGGAGCCCCTGCCAGCTGGGTATTCACATATATATGAATAAAAAAAGAATGAAATAATGTCTTCTGTAACAACCTGGCTGGAACTTCAGGCCATCATTCCATGTGAAGTAACTCAGCAATAGAAACCCAAATAATACATGTTCTCACTTGTAAGTGGGAGCTAAGCTCTGGGTACACAGAGGCATGTGGAGTGGTATAATGGACACTGGAGACTCCGAAGCAGGAAGGGTGTCAGGAGGATGAGGAATAAAAAACTACCTGCTGGGTGCAAGTACACTACTCAGGTGATGGGTACACTAAAATCCCAGACTTCACCACTATACAATTTATCCATGTAACCAAAAACTACCTATACTCCTAAAGATACTGAAATTTAAAAATTAAAATAAAGAAAAGTTCAGGGCAGCAGAGGGTGACATTTGAAAGAAAAAAAAAGAAGCCAATAGGAACAATAGAAAGAGGACACTTAGGTTTTTAGGACTCGTTCTGCTTTTATCTGACTGAGAGGATCGGGGCAGATAACTCTCACTTCCCCTGCCCTATCCTTCCAGCCTCAGTTTCTCCATCTATAAAACCAAGAGGTGTGAATAAATCATACCTGACATCTTAGGATTTTTAAAAGCAGGAATCCATTTTTGGTAGAATGCATCAGGGAAGGATGATGATATTAGAGATGAAGAACAATTATTGGAGTAGAATATCCTCTTCTAAAGGTCAAAGGTGACAGGGAGGTGGGGGAGTAGAGAGTTTTTGCAGTTTCTGCTCCAGTGAAAAGGATGAAGCTGACTGGGAGGTCCCAGTAGGGGAAAGGGTGATCACAAAGCCCCCAAGCCCTAGTGGACCTGACTGCATTACAAGAAAGGGTGGACATTCTGTGACTGGAGAGGAGAATGACAGATTCTTCAAATATCTGATAGCTGTGCCCCTTCTCACATAATGGCCAGAAAGATATAGGGCCTTGGAAGGTGGAGGGGTACTCATGTCCTAGGGATCTTCCCCTTCCTAAATGAAAATTCATGCCAGGTGCACTAAAGATGAAGCATCCCAGATTCTCATATGGCTCATCTTTGTTTAAAGTTACCTTCATCTATCAACCTGGCATAACACCACTACTTCTTTTTGGGTTTTCATTATATCTGGTGAAAAAATATGATTTTGAGTTTATGCATAAAGCATAGGCATTTGGTGGATGATTGGAAAATTGGCAGAATATGCTAAGCACTCTGGATTATGGCAGTGGTTATAAAGGGGTTACAATCCATTGTAGATATTTGCACATGGGCTTACTGG